CCCTTTAAGAGATTCTTTATTCCAATTATTAAAGGTAGGATTATTTAAATTAATCAGCCTTCATCACTTGAGATTGTTAAGTAAGCTATTTCTGATTCAATCTCAAGAGTTTCTGTTCAAGTTCTAATTGATTCTGATGTTGAACCAATTTAGATGTTTATTCTTTCAACAATTGCTTATTCAAGAGATTGAGAGATTTATTTCTAAATATGTTCTCAGATTTGGCCCTCACTTAATTCATTTATTGATGATGTTCCAGTTCTTTATTATAATTATTTTGTAAGTCTGATAATCTCTTTTTCTCAATAAAATTTATCTTATCCTAAAAGTAATCCATCTTTTCTTTTAATTTTCTGATTTTGGTCTAAAATATCTAATTAGATCTCTCTTTGATCAACTCTTAATGTTCTTAGGATTATTGAACCTTTTAAGTGAGTTAATCCATCTTTTCATATTTTTATTTATAAATTTTATTAATCTTGCTTTCATAATTCTTCAACTTTTGCTAACAAATCTAAATACATATCTTAATTTACTTCTTGGATTCTTTTCATCTACAATTAATAGTTGGAATAGACATTTTGATTATGAGATTCATTTATTTGCATTGATGAATTTAAAGTCTACTACTTTAAACTCATGTATTCATTCACTTATCTCTCTTTTTTTTCTTATTTTTCAAGATAGCGTATGTTGACTTTCCTTAGATTGTAATCTAATTAGTTAATCAAATCATCGGTTTTCTTTTTAAACTCCTCGTATTTAAGTTTATTCTAGATTTCAAATATTCTGCGTTGGATCTCCTTCTCGTGTTGTTTCTACTCACTTGACCATACCTCATTTTATGCAGTCTTCTTTTCCTTTTTCTATTTTTGTACATCATGAAGTTGCTTTTATTTCTCTTACTAGATCTTGAGCTACTCATTCTAATATCGTTACGAGAGGATCTGATTAACAGCAGTAAGTGTACTTGTTCTTACAATTTTCGATCTTTTGTTTCTATTTAAAGATTGCGATCGAAAATGTTATTCAATTTCTATTCATTTATTTTTCTCTACTTCGCCAAGAGCTCTTCATGTTTCAACAATACATCCATCTATTGATTCTAATTGATTTATATATATGGATTATACAAATTTCTCAATCATTTTCTCTGGATGTGGAGCATTCATTACTTTTTTAATTATATCATCTATTTTACTCTATCTATATTTAGTAAAAAGAGTGATTTATAATAGATATTTATTAAATCTAAAATCAATATCCATTTGATTTCCAGTATCATAGATATCTTCTCTTAAGTAAATTAATTAAAATGTCAATATGCTAAGTATTTTTGTTTTGAGTTTCCATGGGCTTAGGCGATCTCAATTTCAATGGATTGATATTATTCTTTTTATAAATTTGTTGCATTTGTTTAGAAAAATCTAATATCTCAGGAACCGAAGGAAAATCTTATTTAACTTTTTCGGGGCGTATTTTCTTATGACCCAATAAATCATTTAGTTTTTTAATGCTCAAATGTTCATTCAATTATTACGATTCGCTGTATTCTACTTCAGTTATACTTTTTTTATTTTCCTTGTTTTTCAATGGACTCATCATAGGTTCCACTGACATTCTATTCTTTGATAACTCATGCGCAGAATAGCCTTGAATTATGGAAGGTAGCTTTTGCCTTACGAATTTTCTTTACTATCCTTATTCGAATTAATTTTCTGAGTATATCTATCTATGCACAACTGATGGGCCGTAGCGAAAAGAAAGTATTTTTCTTTCAGTCACACTCCCACCCAAAATAGGTATTTGATGTAAATTAGACGGAGAAACATCAGTTATACATCTAAAATCAGAGCTCATTTAATTTAAATTTCTTTGAATTGAAATACTCTTCACTTTCTTGCTTTTCTATAATGCTCTTCTAGATCGAGGTTCTTATTCATTATTTATATTAAGATGTAAATCAAAATTATACATAATTTTATATCATTAATATTTAAATCCATTTTAATTTCCAAATAACAAAGGTTATTCATTCTCGGTAAGTATGTAAACATTATTGCATTACACAATAGCACTTTGAGTGTTGAACTCAATCGAATTTGGCAACTCTTTCGACTTCTACAGTGTCTTCGTCTTCAAATTGAGAATCTTATTATTAATTCAAATCAAATACCTATGTTTCATTACTCTTAACATCATGGACTGATCCGCCAAGAATTAGTATCTGATCATATGAAGTCTTGATGGCACAACTATTAAATGGCAACCTCAAATATCCATTAGACAAGAATTTGAACTCTACTTTAGTCTTAAATCAATAATAAACATATCATACCCAAGAATTCTTCTGAATATCATATGATTCGATTGAGTTGCATGGAGTAAAGATATCGCATTTGCCACCTATCTTAAACAATGTATTGTGATCTATTGCAACCAATGCACACCCACTACATTTGAAGTAAGGATCCTCAATTGTTTACCATCTCTTTGTGTTTAAATCTAGTTTCTCAGCCTTAGCCATAGATGTATTTTCATCATTAGTTGATGATCCACCGACAACAAATAGGAAATTGCCAACCTAACAAGCAGAAGTCATTGATCTCGGCAGGACCATTTCTGAATGTAAACTTAACTATAAAGTGGTATGATTAAACTCATAAACCGACGCAATAGCTTTGAATCTCGATTTATCTCTATCAACTCCACCGATAACTAAATGTTATACCTGAAGAAGTAGTGTATAGTCTGTGAAATAAGGGGATCTTTGTTGTACTATTAATAGTTTCAATCCTATATTGCTCTGATTATATGTCATAGATATAGGCAGCATAACCGCCTTCCTCTAATCTGACAAGCACTTATTATTCATCATCTTTAAAGTGATTTGAATGATTAATCTGGTATTTTGCTTCATCATTTGTAAGGCTTTCAGAGATTAATGTTATTGGATTTACCAGAGGAGGTGGTATTTCAGAGACACGAGTTAATTTTACTGTAGATTGATTTGATTTATCATCAAATTTAAGACTTTTGTTGATTGAATGATTATTAATTTACTGATTGCTTGGTTATTAGGTATTCTTGATAAAATAACACATCTTTTTACAATATGTTTAAAAGAGTTCAATATTGTTTTTATCAAAAATTATTTTAATTTGAGATTACTGATAATTTTCGATTAATCTATCTAAAGAAATAAGACTCTTGTCAGAGAATAATTATTATTTGGCATCACATCATTTAGATGACAGCCCTAACATAGTTATCATTGTGCAAATCTTCTTATAATTTACTAAGTTTATGTTGTTACTATTGGATATCTTATTCTATTTAATTTAACTATTTTAAGTATTCTTCTTAATTTTGATCTTTTAAATCTTTGTACAATGTTTCAAAATAATCATCTATGATATTTGAGATTTATTCATGGATTGATCTCAATTGCCCAAGATTATTATTATAAATAATAGATGGTTGTTCTTAGAAATACTTCTTACAATCTAATAATTTAAATTACAGCGATTTGGATATTTCATCTATCTTATAAGTGTTATCTTTTCTGACTCTTTGAATGTTTTCCAATTTGGGAACTCTTCCTTTCTTTTAGTGCATCTCAAGATGTTCATTGATGCATTCTGGACAGAGGGGTTCGATACAATTCTAAAAGAGAATTACAATGAAACATACTTGTTCCTGGCATAGATTAGTAATGAAGAATTCTGGATGAGTTGGACATGGAACATACATGAAATTCGCAAATTAAGTCATGTTGGACATTTTACTAGTGTTGTTAATATTGACTTCTCCTAAGATACTGCCAATATCAGATTGGTCAACGTTAATTATTTTAGATTTGACTTATTAAGTAGGTGGCAATTTCTTATGATTCTGAATTGTAATTTAAAATTAGTTACTTGCTCATTCTCTTGAGTGTTCTGTCTTTCATGTGGAGAGACATACCTTTTGGATGCACTATGACTCCGACTGTCATTTAAGGGGGATTGAGACCTATTCATAAATATTCAAATTTTATAATATGTTAAATTTAATTTTCATTCTTGTTTCAGGAATTTATTCTCAAGAACCAGAACTTTGCTATAAATTAGATGGTCATTTATGTGTGAACAACCAAATAGCAGACACGACATTTGTGCCCTTGGATTCAACTATAGGTTTATGGAGATTCGACAAGAATCAGATGGATGATAGTCAATTGTTAAACCACCTATTATAACCTTGTGAGCTTGGTCCAGGTAGAGGAGCTGTTGGCAATTCTGCCTATTATAGTGGAGAGCAATATTCGATAATCCCACATCATGATTAATACCATGACATAGTCACAATCTCAATGTGGATCTACCCATTGTCCTCATAGTAGTCATTTACAACCATTTTGCGTAAGGCTTTAAAGTCTACCGAATATACTCCAACTATTTTGTTGTGGCCATTTCATGATGAGGCCAATGTTGGAGGGGGACAAATAGAAGTGATAGTTTAGTACATCATATGACAAGGAGAACCTGCGTAGTAAGGGGAGTGTGACTGGCAGGAAGTGGAATCATTTAGCAATTGTCTTGTAAGGTTTAAGCATTGATTTATATATAAACGGTATTCACGACAATGTATTGTCTTTGAAGGCCAGACCCTTGAAAAACGATGGACCCTTTTATGTGGGAGGAGATCCCTGGTTCAACGGTCCTCTATTATATTTAGATGATTTAACCTTCTACAACATACCATTCTTATGTACAATTATTATATATTTACATATAAGAATTGGAAATCAGCAAATTAGTTAATTTCCCTGGACAAGTAAACAATAGACTGTTCTATTTGGGTTGTGATGGATGCAATTACCATCAGAGTTTGAGTAGTTGTAAATAAGGATGGCATTTGTGTTCTCTGTCTGAATTAACATCTGGAATATATATGCATGCTCGTTAAAATGGTTGGTTGCGATTAACAAAGGATTTTTGGTCAAGAGTGGATGAAATAGATTAAGAATTGGCGAAGAACTATTTAGATCCTCAAAAAACAAAGGCTGCTATTTGTTGTTCAGATTCTTTTTATTGATTTATTATTGGAATTAATATTACCATGGCTTACTCCCATAATAGTAATAATTAATATATGTAAAATACTAATTTGATTTCATTAAAATCAAATACTCCCACTTGTATCACTGTGTCCATTGAGATCAATCCTAATAAATACAAAAAGAAATGCATTTTGTACATCATTGTCTATCAATAATAACGCAAGATCAGCACTCATCAGATACTCCAACCATTTCCTAATGAATATACAATCAGACAGTTAAAACATCAAAGTATGTACACTCTGAAGATTAGACTGGAACATGGACAGGAGAATCTATTGCAGACTTTGCATTGCAACACTAAGTCAGATGCAAATGTTGTCATTGCAAGTGTCCAATAACATTCGCACTTAATCAGAGACCCAGTATCTTCCAATAGTGAATAACAATTAGTGGATGTGATTGCTGCTGAAAATGAGGGAATCAATATATTCGAGAACAGACAAGAGATCAAATCCATGATCCAGAAGGCTCGGAACAACTCTTCTGCCAAGGGATTCATTTATTCGGAATACAAAGTCAATAAGCCACCTGAATTGAAGCAAGAGAGATTGAAACGCATTTGGATGATCTCGAAAGGATAGGAGTTCTTTGATGAGGTGTATGGCAACATCGATCCTGGCTTCCAATTCCTCAAAAATGATTGGTTTATGGGACCATTTTACAGTTATGATCCTAATGAAGAATTATTACGTAAAAATTAAGAAAACCGTGATTTGTAAATTAATTAATCATTATGACATTATATTGTATTTAAAATTTAACATCAAATGGAGGCTTTTTTTGATTTTAGGTAATCATCCTCATTCACTCTAGTTATTTCGAAGATCTAAGAAAGATTTGCTCACAGGATACTTACAGAGAAAAATTGAGGCTCTTTCTTTTTAATCCATATATGGAAATGAAGGAGCACCAAGAAACTGTGGATCTCTTCATTGAATATGTAATATATTGCTCATCTCATTTAGGCCGAATTGTCTCAAGAATATGGAATCACTTTTGAGCATATGATCAATCATAACATTGGTATTAAGGAGCCTTAATTCTACCATTACTTTTTCAATAAACTCAAAGACACAAATTACAGAAAAGCTCTTTAATGTATTCAAATGGCTAAGCAGTATTATTTTACATATATAATTATAAAATAGATTCTGCTACTCGAATTTCGAGTAAATAGATAGCATGAACAAAGAATTGGAAAACATCCTACTCTTCCAATTTGAATCCTATTACTATTCGCAAAACTACTCCAAAAAACAAATAGAAGAGAAACTCAAACAATTTGAACTCAAGTTTTACTAATCCAAAAATAAGAGAATCTAAATCCACATCGATGAACAATTCAGAAAATTGGATCTCAAAGCTATCATCCATGAAATTGAGTCATTCAAAGAAAATAAGTGCAATTCCAATGCATCCACTCAAATCCCCATCTCTCAATCCTACCATCATCTGAACCCTGAAGAATCAGATTTCAATTGCCAACTAGAATCCAAGGAATTCAAACTACTCAAACCCAAATTCCAAAACAATCGCAGCAACCTTCAAATCATCACCCAATCCCCTAATTTCTCCAATGACATTGCTCTTTCAGAAGAAATCAATAAACTCACCCCAATCAGTTCCTCTTCCACATCCAGCAGGTACATCTTTAAAATCAACAACAATTATAACATCAAATCCACCCAATAACAAAAATTAATCATACCCATACCCATCATCAATCAATAGATCAGTCCCTTAAAATCATTCAGTCGAATGAAGTACAAAAGCATCTAGAAGCTCAGACAATTAATTTTTGAAGACAATGCGCAAAGCTCTGTCAAGGAACCCTTAAAATTTGAATCACCTTAATGATATTTGTGTATACTTAATCTATAAACAAAATAATTTATTTAATCATGTATTGCTTTTTTAAAACCACAACAACAACCAAAAGAAGTTTTCTTGAACTCTAACCTATGGTTTCCTAGTTGCAACAACATGAAGTCCTAGCAATACAGTATGCAGAACATCTGAGAAATTAAATTATGTTCGGCAACTTTTAATTAATTCCAACTTATATTTAAACTTTCTTTAACAACTTGGTATCAACATTAGATATAATAATTAGAGGCCAATCCTAAATAGACAATCATTCTTCCATCCTTAATTCGAATATCAACCAATTGTAAGCAACTCTTAATTGAAGTCTCCATAAAGTAATAAAATACTCTATTTCAGATAGTTAAGAAGCTTTTGAAGTAGATTACTTAATGTTATTATACACATTCTGTTGTGAATCTTTGTGTCATTCATTTGAGCAAATCAAAAATATTAGATAGGCAATTATTGAAGACAGATTACCGAATCCTAACGATGTAGCCTACATTCTTGAAAAATTGAAAGCAGCATACGCTTTGATCAAACATGCCCAAGTGAATTCAAATTCACTACTACCGAACTTACGTAATCAAAGGCCTTAAGAATTTAAAGAATTTACAGAAAAATTTCCTTTTAGATTTAATACTTACATTATTGTGATGACAAACTTAATCTATTTTGAAAAATTGAGGGAAACGAATAATTATTAGAATTTGATTAGGCGATAAAATTTATGTGGTACAATGGTAAATATGTTAATATAATTTGGGAATTTATACGACGATCGATTAGGATAGTACTTATATTACTTATCATTCTACCTAAAATGCCTAGGTTACAAATGTATAATTGATAGGTACGAGTACCAAATTTAATAAAATGATTATGCAGAGAAAAGTAATTGGATATTTATTAAATTCAAGGTTATACTGTTATGAGTTAAGAAATCCTAGAAATAAGTTCAGAAATTAAAAACATTTGTTAAATAATATTAGTGACAAGGGATTTGAATGAAGATTATATGGATGTATTCAAAATATAGGCGGAAAGATGGATTCAATTTTCAGATACTCAAGTTAGAGTTTATTCAGGCACTAAAAGAAATCAATAAATAATCTATACTAATGATTCGATTTTACTAAACTCTGGCCATTTTAATTGTTTGGATTGATTAATTATGAGATGTTACTCAATAATTCTATTTTTCACTTTATAATATATCATCCCAGATTTGTATTTTATTATTAAATATTCATTTGGAATACTCATAACGAAAATGGATATTTAACTCAGATACTAGAATGATTAGACTGTCTTTAATGGAGTGGAATCATATGACGATCTTCAATAAGAAATCTAATTAAAATATCCACTCTTGATAAATATTGAATTGACGTATTAAGATGAAGAGGGCGATGTAATTTAGGTCTCAAATACAAGTGACATTATTGCGATAGTAAGAGTATGATTGATGATTTAAAGACAGATTTAAGTAAAGTGATCCTTTAAATGGATGCTTAAATTGATTATGTAAAGTTGGGAGAATTAGAAAGACTTGAAAGAGAGGAAGATTAAAGATAGAGATTACTTCAAGATAGAAGAAATCTATTGTAATATGTATATCTATTTTAAGTAATCATTTAGGAAATAAAAAAAGAAATGGAAAATTATGAAATATTTAATTTAGAGAAGAGTGCGAATGAAAGTAAATACAATGAAGAAATTGAAGAACTAATGGATCGCTGCAAAAAACTGAAAGATACAGAGAGAGAACCTATTATAGATTTTAAAATAATCTTTTAGAATTCAAACATATTAGGTCTCATTAGAGAGAAGGAATCGAATTTATTGTTAATGGAAGTATAATTTGATTTCATATTTTATAGGACAAAACAGGTTTCGACACTAAATTACAGTCAATCCAAAGGGAGGTTGATGATGCATTTGGAAACCTGTTGTAATAAAGAATTTTGGATCATCAGGCTAAGCATAACAATTGGATAGAAAAAAAATGCTAAATTAACAAGATTTACCAAGAATTGCAGATATTGGAGACTGAGAAACAGGAGCAATTGGAAAGATTGGATATGATATTGAAAAGATCATAAGAAAATATGGCCAAAATGAAGGCATAGTTAAATTAACCTCCAAGCAATGATGATTATTAATTTGATTCATTTATGTTTTGATAGAGTTGAGTCTTCCACCCTATTATTATAAAATTTGTTAAGATGATATAGAAATATTAAAGAATTAGGAGTGATATGTGAATTAAATACAATTAAATCCGTTTTTATAATATTTTATTAAAAATGAGAAGTTCGGCATTAGTCATATGTATACTAGTGTTGGGAAGTGGTAATATTGTATAACATTCTAGCCCTGTCTGCTGAATTGGATTTGGGTACATCCTTATTATCTATGGATTTATCTGATGTGGCCCTTCTGGATACTACATCGATGAGTTGTTCCACACCCCAGAACGAATTTGAGAGAGTCTCTGCTTAAATGGCAGCTTGGGCTGATATTGTTCAACATAAGGATTCCTTACATCGAGATATCGATAGATTAGAGACCATCAAAGAACTCATACAAAAGAGAAAGTTCAAATCATTAGAGAAGTAGTTGAATAAATTGGAATTGCCAAAGACAGAAAGCAAAATCGGAGAACCTATTTTGGCAGAGTTCAGACAGAAGCTCTAAGGATTGAGCAACCCAGAAACTGCTGATGAATGTGAAGCTACTTTACTCAAATTATGCATCTATCTTCTCAAATAATTTAACAGTTGCAGATAACAATGCCAATCTAGCCCTGTGACAGTCATTAAAATCAAAGGAAAGATTAAGGACTTGCAAGTTGTCTAATAAGGATGCGGATAACCTGCCCCATGTGAAGACGAGCCAGGAGTACCTGACGAACCTGTTCCTGAAGTTCCAGAGGTTCCAGAAGAGAAAGGTCCAGAAGAAAAGGAAGTTCCACCTGAAGTTGAACCACAACCACCTACTCCACCTGGAGAAGAAGAAAAGCCAGAAATCCCTGATGAAAAGGGTCCTGAAGAAAAGGATATTCCACCTGAAGTTGAACCACTACCACCTGCCCCACCTGGAGAAGAAGATAAACCAGAAATTCCAGATGAAAAAGGCCCTGAAGAGAAGGAAGTTCCACCCGAAGTTGAACCATTACCACCTGCCCCACCAGGAGAAGAAGGAAAGCCAGAGATTCCTGATGAAAAAGGCCCTGAAGAGTAAGATGTTCCTCCTGAAGTTGAACCATAACCACCTGCTCCACCAGGGGAAGAACAAAAACCAGAAATCCCTGATGAAAAGGGTCCAGAGGAAAAACATGAAGAAGGTGAACCTCCTGTTGAACCACCTGTTGAACCAAGTCCTGAAGAGAGTCCTGAAGAAGAAGGAGAGATCCCTGATGAACCACCTGTCAATCCAAATCATGAAGAATCACCTGAAGAATCAACAGAAGAATGGGTTGAAGAAATTGAAGAGGAATTTGAAGAATTTGAAAACCCACCTATTGTTGCTCCTCCTATTGAACCACCCAGTGCTGTTGAAAAGGCTTGTTTGAATTCAGTAAACGAGATTGTTTATACATCATCTGTTGATGAAGCCACTCCATTAGTCAATAAATAATTGGAAGGTGACGATTTAAGTTGTTATGGATTTGGATTTTATGCTAGATGGCTTTAAGCTTATCCAACATTCTTGGTTCATGGAAGATAATCTGAAAGATATTTCGTTGCAAGAGTTTCT